ATATCCACAACCAGGGAAATCAGTGACTAGGGGGATAGGTCAATGGTTGGAATAAACCACAAGTGTGTGTGGGGCAGAGGGTAGGTGAGATAAAGAAGGGAAAAATTATGACAATAATAACTGAAACAATCACATTGGACAAGAACTGAGTGCAAAAAGTAGGTATATATTTATTTTTTTAAAAAGATTTTAGAACCACATTCAAAGGATCTCAGGACTTATTCCTGTTTCCATGCTCAGAAATCACTCCTGGAAGGCTTATAGGAACAAATTTGGTATTGGAGATCAAACCCAGGTCAGCTACATGCAAGGCAAGTGCCTAACCTGCTCTTCCATCGCTCCAACCTCAAGAATATTTATCTTTATTAAGCTAGAGAGCTGCAAGGAATGATGGTGGGAAAGAACAGCTAGAAACTTTTGTGCATGCTATGGAAAAGAAAGATAAACAAGGGGATCAGAGAACATAGAAAAAGCTGAATACCAGGTTTTTTAAGTATAAATTTTAAACAATTTCTATTTAGGTAAATACAATTCTCAAATAATTGATGATTTAAAAGTTAAAAGTGGCAATTTAAATATTTTCAAGTCAATAAATTAAAAGGTTATATTTTATTGATTCTGACATTCTCTATAAGTAATCATAATTTTCTCTTCTAGAACTATTTTTCAATTGCGTTTGATGTATCTTTGTTGTCTCAGAGGAAAATAAAAGCACAAAATTGTGTAGAGTTGTTTTGAATTAATTTTGTTAATACAGTCTGTTCTCTTTATTATATAATATAAGAACAATTAAGTCATTTTTAAAAAGAAAGTAACTTCAAAGTTAACAATTTTAGGTTATTGCCTTTCTTAAAAAAAAAGATGAGGAGGCCTAATAAGGAAATACATTTTATTACATTTGTTATTGACGCTATAAAACAATTTTAACAGCAAGGAAATGCAATGCAATTGATCATATGTTAGAAATGCATTAATTTGAGTTACTGTATTTTTCATATGTAATTTGAAATTATGTATAGACATAAAAATGTCTTATTGTATGATATAAATCTATGTATTACTATTTCATTACGTTAAATTAAAACCATGTCTACGAATTATTTTCTCTAAAGTTTCCCTGAATATCTGACACAATTTCCTAGAGGCGATGCTCTTGAATTGAACTGACCATGGTCTATTATTTGGGATAATTTTCTCTATTGTTCCATCTCTTGTCTATAGTTTGCTGCTTTTGACCTATTGTTTCTCGAAACAGTCATGGAACTAAAATAATGTCATCCATAAAAATGACCATTTAGTAGTAAAAAATAAAGGACTTTACTGAGGACAGAATAATCAAACAGGAGACAGCAGTCTAACAGCCCTTTTTAAAGGCTACTTTGTTTTCAGAAAGGAGATGCTGCCTCCCAGATCCAGTTCTATCACTCAGCATGTCAACTATGGTGGCAAAATATGGTCCCATTGTGTTTGAGACCCTCTTGCATTTTCAAGAGCAGCGAAAAAATATCTTCTGCTTAGCTGGGTCACAAATATATTTTTTCAGATCACTTTTCAAAACAATGAAATCTTCTTGATCTAGTTATAACTGTCATTTCATTGGCAAAATATATTATTATGTATACCTTATTATGTATAGGATTCAAACTACTTAAGCATTTGCCGACTGAATGCAGGTGTGTGTGTGTGTGTGTGTGTGTGTGTGTGTGTGTGTGCGCGTGTGTATGTGCAAGTGTGCATGCACATGCACATTTTGTCTCAGGTCTAAGTGCTCCTCATAGGCAAGATGATTTCATTAGTTGTTGATCTTTTCTTAGCCATGATTTCAGGAAATGTGTTAAGCTGTTATTGAACATTACCTCAGCCACCCAAATAATGATCACCTTGGCATACTTTTTTAATATCTCCCTAAGTCAAACTTTCCTAGAGTTAAATCTGCTAGACAGTAGTTTCTTTGGCTTTCCACTACTAACTGAAGAATGCTTCATATTTTACAGTTTCTTTTTCATGTGATGATGCAGTCTCCTGCTCAGGTTCATAACCTTGGAGGTTATCTTTCATCCTGAACACCCTTTGATTATAAATTTACATCACACAAATCTCCTTCTATCATCTCCAGAACATAGCAAGGCTGTGACCAAAGCTGTCTCAGGAAGATGCCAATTCAATAATTCATACTGTTATTATATCTCGGCTGGTTGCAGTAATTCATCCTAGTTGTAACATCAGTAACTCTCTCGGCCCTGTATTTTAGTAGTGCAGAAGTTTCCCATCTAGTGCCAGTGCTGTGACTCTAACATATCTGATCTATTTGTCTAATACTATTGAATTATGCATCCAAGTGTCTCCAACCCATTAATTATTTATATAGCTTTTAGCACCTCAATACCTACATTTGTCAACAAAAAGAATATAATCAATATTATGAGAATTGGGTGGTACATAACCTGAGAAATGGTTTTGCAAAAGCTGATTGTTGACCCTATTTCTGTGAAAGAATCCTCATAAATTTACAAAGCAAACATAAATATAAAGAGAGTAAGTGTCAAATAAACCTGATTAAGAGTTTAAAAATGAAACAATAGTTGAATGAGGAAGACTTATCTAAAACTTTTTTTTATAAGTTTCAAAAAGTCATACATTAAGCTAAGAGGGAGAGTAGTTGTTATAAAAGTAATTTGGTTGCTTATTCTATTATTCAACAGATATATATCAGGTACCTAATATATGCTAGTCACTATTCTAGAAGAAAGTGGAGAGTTAGAAGTAAACAAAATAGAAGAAGTCAGAAAATATTGGTAGAATTAAAGAAAGAAAGAATAAATATATGAACTCATTATAATACGACACACCATAAGATGATAGTAACTTGTCTGTAGTTTGAGAATCACTTTCTGATAAGCTATTCAAAACATTTATGTCTTTTATTCATATAGTTTCCTATTTATTTTAATGAAGAAATAATATAGATAAATATTTGTCTAATTGTATGAAATAAATGTGAATTACAGTACTGCATGCAATTTTATTAGAAGATTGTGTCAATAACTTTAAAAAAAGATTCAGAAAGCTTAAATTCAATATTCAGCACTAAGTTTAAAATGTTCTAGAGCAATGGTAAAGAAAATAATGTGCTAATAGATAAAAATGGTTTGATGTTTTATTTTGGGTAAGTGGTTGTGAACTCTTTGAGGTCTTAAATTTTTCTGCCACAATAACTTTGACCAACTTCCTAAGAAATAGATTTAGATTTTACAAAAGTGATATTTTATGACAAAATCTTGACAGTTCTTTCAAGAACTATAGCTAGACATGAAAATTATAAAGGAGTCAAAAGAAGGAGCATTTTTGTGCATAGAATTTTCTAGAATTGCAGAAAACTGAGCTTATGTTTTTTGATGGGAGGGAGGTTATTTGGATGGAAATTAAATAAGCTGCAGAGAGCTCATGAAACACAAATGTAAAAGTATAGTACAGAGTCACAGTTAAATATGAGGCAAAGTGCACAACTTATTAATATAAATACATAAAATGTAAATTGGATTAGGAGGAAAGAGTCAATACAGAGGAGAGTTTCTGAGTGCTTCCTGTCATCCAATACTTTAGTGTCCCATGAGAGATATTTACACCATCTTTATTGATAATAGTATGGATTAAAGTAAAAGATATGACAAGTTAATAAAGAAGATATAGTTTTAACTAAATGGTATGTATGCCAAAGCATTTCACTTGAAATACTTTATTTAGCAGTCTATTCACTGAGCTCCCCCCGAGGAAAAACCATTTTCAGAAACTTCTGAAGTACTAACAAATGCTGTCTTAGCATTGTTATCTAGCTGAAACTAATGTAAACTAAATATATATTTGGTGATAAACTATATTGATTGACATTGACTTTAACTATTTTATATAATGTTTACATATTTTATGAAAATTTAAATTATATTAAGAATTTGATAATTAACGGTCATTTTTGTCTTAACTATTGGTTTGGCTCAAGTTTCTGATGCCGTTTTACACAATTCAGAACACTTCCAGTAATTACACCAAACCTCCTCCTATGTATCAAAGACCCAGCCTCACAGCTGATGCTCAACAAGTCACCAAGTTACCAAATTATCTCAGGTAGATGGATCTATGAGATAAAAATTCATCAACCTTTGCAGAACAGTGGCAGGTAGATTCCCCTACCTTTTAGATAGGCCCACCACACCCAGTCTCTTCTGACATAGAAACAGCCCAGCTCTACAGCTCCCTGAGCATGAAATTTTACAGTATTAGCAGCCCAGTAGGAGCACAGCAAATTTGACAGGAAAGTTGTGTAGCAGCCCACCAAGCTCAGTGAGTGAAAACAATAACACAGAAGGCTCACCCAGCACTAACCAGCTCAATAAATCCTCAGACAATGACTTTAGCAACACTATTGTGAGACATAACAATTATCACAAATTGACTTTTAGGGATTTATTTTCTGATATTTTCATTTGCCATTTTGTTGTAACAAGAAGTAAATTTATTTGTGCCTGCTTTAAGTATGTAGACTTACAGGGTGGATGGCAAATGGAAACATTGGTGGAGCAAAAGTCACACTGGGTGTGGATTGGAATATTGAATGTTGGAATATTGAATGGCCAAAATAACTGTATTATGAGAAACTTTATTAATCATGGTGTTTAAATAAAATAAATAAAGGAAGAAAAGGAAAAAATCCCTACATTTCTTATTTATTCTCAGGATATTTTTTTATTCAATTACTCCAAAATATTAATTTTTATTTTGAAATATAATTTCTTATAATTGCTATGTGGTAGTTTTTTTTATTCTCCCACAAGCATTCACTTAGGAACAAAAATGAACCAGAACTTCAAATGCTGCCTGGATACTACTTGCTCACTCCTCCCCTCCTCTCACTTTCTCTTTCTTGAAAACTTGTTTCCTGTTATATTATTTTCACTAATTAGCCCACTCCCAAAATGTCAAGGAATATTTTATTACTATTGTTAAATGTTCCTTCTTATCTATATTAGTGCTCATATTGAACAATGAACTGTGGACTTCAAAAGAAGACTTAGTTTTCTTACTTGTTTCAAAGTATTCACATCCACTTATTAGACAAAAACAAAAATTAACGCAAGTGATAGAAATTTTGTTAAATTCTTGTTTCATCATGGGAGAGTTCAATGCTCATAATACGTTCTTTTTAAGAATTCTGGTTTGTGGTTGTTTCTAGTTGAATTTCCCATGCATTTGTAGTTTGCTATACAACATGAGGGCAACAGAGGACTGTGAGTGTGTTTAAATTACGTGAGATCTCTAGTTCATCTCACAACTATAGCACTGTAGCACTATCCTCCCATTATTCATCGCTTTGCTTGAGCGGGCCCAGTAATGTCTCCGTTGTGAGACTTGTTGTTACTGTGTTTGGCATATCGAATACATCGCGGGTAGCTTGCCAGGCTTTGCCATGTGGACGATATACTCTCGGTAGCTTGCTGGGTTCTCTGAGGGGGCGGAGGAATTGAACTCAGGTCAGCCAAGTTGGCCGCATGCAAGGAAAACACCCTACCGCTGTGCCGTCTCACAACTATATCCATAAAATATATTTCTAAATATACTATACACTTTATACATAAAATAAAGTATATTTCTAAAACCCATGATTTTTGTATTACCCTAAACCTTCTTGTGGATTCTAAATATGTAGTAGCAATATTTTTTGATAGAATTTATCATATAGTCTAAGATCCATTAAGTGTTTACTTTAATATTACATGACATCTTCCTTTAAGTATTTCTCTTATCTAGAAATGAGACTTTAGTATATACTCTACAAAAAAGTTTTTATGGTCCACAACTGAGCAATTTTTTTGTCTTTTGTTTTTCATTAGAATTAAGTTCTTTCTCCTTCTTGTTCTTTATTCTGATTTGACTGGGCCAACAAATCAATATCCCACATTTGACATTTAATCTTCCTCTAATCTCTTATAATCTCACCGTGTATCTGCTTTAGGGTGATCTTTTATTACTTGAATTATACTTGCTATTCTTTATTATAATCAACTTATAAAGCAAATGGGCTGGGACACTTATTAGCTGATAACCTTCACTTGGTCTCAATTCCCACATTTATTTAAAATGGAGAACTATGATATGTCATACTTAATTTTCCTATTACCTCAACTATGCCATGCTTTATCTAAAAGAAGATACTTTTGTAAACCGTGTTTTTGTTTATAGATTACTACATGAAGTTTATATGGAACTTTTATCACAATGTTTGATCAACTTCTTTTGCCTAGTTCCTACTTATTGAAAACTTGCTATATATAATAAAAAATTATATATAATGTATATGTATGCATGAAATCAACAGCCATAGCTTCAAGCAGATTGCGAATCAGCTCAATACATTTTCTGAACTGTTCCACTTACATGGACAAACTCACTGATTTTACAGATGCTATTTAGCCACATGTTAAAAAAGCATACTGATGGAGTGCTAAAGTAGATTAAAAGCAGTCATTAATTTTCTTTTTACCTCCCAAGATTCGGTTTTGTTCATTACAAAATATGTTCATGATACAAGATACTATAATTACACAATTAAAGTGTCTATTAGATGATGAAATGATGAACTTAAAGGAAGAATTATTACTTACAGGAAAAGTAACTTAAATTGACTGCCTGTGATGACCATACCATAAGGTGAACCCCAGAGGGTCATACTTACTCTTACATCTTATCTGAAATGCAGGTAGAGTCTATAACTTACTTCTAAGGAACAGAAGATGCAAAGGTTATGAAATACTATTCTTTAATCAGAGTTCATTACATGACAAAAGAGTGCATATTTCTCCATTGCTATTATGATACAGAATTCTATTTTCCCACAAAGGTATTCTTATACTGGCTGTAAAAGTTAATCATGCTGGGGCTGAAGAAATAGCACAGCACTTAGGGTGTTTGCCTTGCATGCAGCCAACCCGGGTTTGATTCCCAGCATCCCATATGGTCCCCTGAGCACCACCAGGAGTAATTCCTGAGTGCAAAATTAGGAGTAGCCTCTGTGCATTGCCAGGTGTGACCCAAAAAGAACAAAAAAGTTAATCATGTTGTAAACCACCTCTAAAGAGAACCATGTGGCAAGGACATGTGGGTGATCACATGACAGTCACTTCCCATGAACAGCCAATGAGAAGTTGAGACTCTCAGTCACAAAGCCATAAAATGAATTTGTTCAGCAACTTAAAGAACCTAGTTGAGATATCTGGCTGTGAGCTTCATACGTGTTTTGTGAGCCACTGAGATGACCCAAAAGAAGAAAGAGAGAACAAGAGGGAATGCCCTGCCACAGAGGCAGGGTGGGATGGGGGGAATGGGGGCTGGGAGGCATGCTGGGACCCGTGGTGATGGAGGATGGGCACTGGTGGAGGGATGGGTACTTGATCATTGTATAACTGAAACCTAAGCACAAAAATTTGTAAGTCTATAACTGTATCTCATGGTGTTTCACTAATAAAAAAAAACTATTGAAATGATAGGTGCGCATGGTTTTAATATGACTTTTTTTGAATAATATTATATTGCACTGAAAAAAACCCGTAAAGGTTTCACTAGATCAAATGTATTTATCACAAAATGAAACTACAGAGTATTTATGACAAATTTCATCAATTCAGGACAGGAAAAGTTTGAGAAAAAAACGTTGAGAAGCATTTTGCCTTAGATTTTTATATGTTTATTTAGATATACTCTATCTCAATAATCATCACATAAAAGCAGGAGGATAGGCAGGAGGTAGGGCATTTGCCTTGCATACAGCTGACCGGTGTTCAATCCCCAGCATCCCATATGGTCCCTCAAGCACCGCCAGGAGTAATATCTGAGTACAGAGCCAGGAGTAACCCCTGAGCATTGCTGGGTGTGACACAAAAGGAATAAAAAATAATTATCTCAAGAAATCACAGATTTATATTAGGGATATTTTTATCAGAAACATATTAATAAATATTAATTAGTAAATTCATACTTAAATTATAGTCAGGCTACATCAAAAACACAATTATTTTTGCATATCTATTTTAAATAATGAGAAAGAAATGAAATAGCCAATGATTAAAATTCAGTTTATATTTTAAACCTTTGAATTTGCAAACTAATCACAGTTACTGACTATGTGAGATAAAATGATTTTTAGTAGATTATTGGTACAATTAGTGACAGTAAAATAAGCATCATTGTCCGAATTCTGTTGATAGTCATGTGAAGGGAAATAACTTTAAGACTAGCAGAGTAGTTATTTTTTACTCTCCCTGTGGTTTGGAGCTATATCAGGTGGTGGTGCTTAGGAATTACTCCTGATTCTGCTCTCAAGGATCATTCCTGGTAGGTTCCAGGGAACTATATGAGGTGCTAGGGATTGAACCTGGGTTGAGTTCATGCAAGGCAAATACCCTACCTGCTGAACTATAGCTCAGGCCCATCAGATAGTTTACACATAAATTAAAGTATTTAACAAGAGCATTAAATGGGAAGGAGCAAGCAGGTACAGTTTAAGTAGGTGATGATGGCAAAGAAAGATCCCAGCTCCGAACACAACATGATAACTAAAATAATGGCAGAATAGGTAAAATGTCCATTCATTTTGAGAATCTAGCTTAAAATAATGGAAATATTAAGTAATCATCAACAAAATGAAAAGAGGTAGACATGGAATATGTTGTCCTACTTGTTTGCAAGCCCTTTAGATTGCCAAAATAGTATGCTAATCTAATGAATCAAGATCATTGGATTCTATTTTTAGGAAAATAATGGAGAATGACCAATAAGTACAGCAAAGATTCAAATCCCCCAACTTTTAATTTAAACAAAATGGAAGCTCGATATTTGAGGAAAGTGCTCACTGATACTACATAAAATGGAAAGAATGAAGAATGCTTAAAATGAATCACCCTACCCAGGTGTCTACTGTTGAGGAAAGTTCAGTTAGCCAAGAACTACATTAAAAAGTATGGTATATAACCTTTGGTTATTGAAATTTTTATTGCAGCTATATTATCCTTACACTGAATGCCCATTATCCCAGCTACTGGTTCTCATAGGTTTTTGTTAGCAGCTTTATCATGTTGCAGTTTATACTACTTAAGCAGGCCATGATGATATATTACAGTCAGCTAAAGTGTAGAACATTCTTAGATTTATTTTGACACCTAAAGCAACTTTTCATTAGGCTGGTAACAAGCCATATAGATGCCATAGTCCTTGCAAAAGCATCATTAGGATGTCGAAAAAGTGCTGACATAAATGTGGACATTCTCAAGAACATGTTTAAGAAACTGATAGGGTAGAAGCTCTTAATTTTCTCAGGTAGCAGTAGGGGGAAAATCTATATGCAAATTGCAAAGCAATGGTGCCCATTTTTCTTTACAGAAAAAGTTCCCATTATGCACGTCTAAGAACTCCACCCTCCCCAGACTGACTTTTTATGAAATTACAGCATGCGCTGGGGCATTGTTTGAACAATATCAAGTGCCTTCAACAGCTGCTTTGCAATTCTTGGAATAGTGAAAACATTTCATGGGACACATAAAAAGCTTGGGATGAGATAGGAAGGAAAAAAAAAATCCTGAAATGTATTATTAAGTAATGCAACATAGTAACAAAAACAAAATCATGCAACTTGTTATAAATCTTTATGCAAATTGATTTCACAACCTAGGTGGAATAAAAAATAGAAAAAAGGTAAAATCTATATGGGCCAATTTGTTAACATAAGTTTCTAATGTACAGAAATTCTCAATATATTACTTCGCCACAATTCCACAACAATCACTGTAGATTTGAAATTAAATGAGACTACTCGTCAAGCAGAAGCTAGAGTGAAATTGGTAGATGGATATATAATTATCTGCCAGATTGAATCCAGTGAATCAGAAGACACATTGCACTCTTTGTATATATGCATATGTTCATAATATACAGGAACCATGGATTTCTATCAAACATCCATCCAATATCAAACAGTTTGTTAACTACATTTCTCAACACACCTTTCTAATTTGGTAATTACACAAAGAAATAAATGGAAATGAGAAGATTTGCTGTTATTTAGGACTGAAAAAACTCAAGAGCTTAG